TAGGCACTTTTCAGCAATGGATTACGCATAATTTTAAAATTTTGTACACATCGACTCAAATTGTATTGTGTGGAGTTTAAGAACTTTTTTAGTAGCAATCAATGAAATCTCGTGCCACTTGGGCGGAAAGACATGTGAGTAATGTTTGAAAAGTGCATAATTTTACGATTTTTCACCTATGACGATATAGGCGAAAAATGCTTTTTTCAGCAATGGATTACACATAATTTTAAAATTTTGTACCCATCGACTTCATATGTGTTGTGTAGAGTTTAAGAATTTTTTTAATATCAATCAATAAAATCTCGTGCCACTTGGGCGGAAAGACATGTGAGTAATGTTTGAAAAGTGTATATATTTACGATTTTTAACCTATTCCGATATTTGAGAAATAGGCACTTTTCAGCAATGGATTACGCATAATTTTAAAATTTTGTACCCATCGACTAAAGTTGTTTTGTGTAGACTTTTAGAACCTTATTAATATCAATTAATAAAATCTCTGTCCACTTGGGCGGAAAGCGATGTGACTAACATTTGAAAAGTGTATATATTTACGATTTTTGACCTATGCCAATATTTGAGAAATAGGTACATTTCAGCAATGAATTACGCATAATTTTAGAATTTTGTACCCAACGGCTCAAGTTGTTTTGTGTAGACTTTTGAAACCTTATCAATATCTAATAATAAAATCTCTCCCCACTTGGGCGGAAAGCCATGTGACTATCGTTTGAAAAGTGTATATATTTACGATTTTTAACCTATGCCGATATTTAAGAAATAGGCACTTTTCAGCAATGGTTTATGCATAATTTTAAAATTTTGTACCCATCGACTCAAATTGTTTTGTGTAGACTTTTAGAACCTTATCAATATCTAATAATAAAATATCTCCCTACTTGGGCGGAAAGCCATGTGACTATCGTTTGAAAAGTGTATTTACGATTTTTAACCTATGCCGATATTTAAGAAATAGGCACTTTTCATCAATGGATTACGCATAATTTTAAAATTTTGTACCCATCGACTCCAATTGTATTGTGTGGAGTTTAAGAACTTTTTTAGTATCAATCAATGAAATCTCGTGCCACTTGGGCGGAAGACATGTGAGTAATGTTTGAAAAGTGCATAATTTTACGATTTTTCACCTATGACGATATAGGCGAAAAATGCTTTTTTCAGCAATGGATTACACATAATTTTAAAATTTTGTACCCATCGACTCCATATGTATTGTGTAGAGTTTAAGAACTTTTTTAATACCAATCAATAAAATCTCGTGCCACTTGTGCGGAAAGACATGTGAGTAATGTTTGAAAAGTGTATATATTTTACGATTTTTAACCTATGCCGATATTTAAGAAATAGGCACTTTTCAGCAATGGATTACGCATAATATTAAAATTTTGTACCCATCGACTCAAGTTGTATTGTGTAGACTTTTAGAACCTCCTCAATATCAAATAATAAAATCTCTTCCCACTTAGGCGGAAAGCGATGTGACTAACGTTTGAAAAGTGTATATATTTACGATTTTTGACCTATGCCAATATTTGAGAAATAGGCACTTTTCAGCAATGGATTACGCATAATTTTAAAATTTTGTACCCATCGACTCAAGTTGTTTTGTGTAGACTTTTAAAACCTTATCAATATCTAATAATAAAATCTCTCCCCACTTGGGCGGAAAGCCATGTGACTATCGTTTGAAAAGTGTATATATTTACGATTTTAACCTATGCCGATATTTAAGAAATAGGGCACTTTTCAGCAATGGTTTATGCATAATTTTAAAATTTTTTACCCATCGACTCAATTGGTTTTGTGTAGACTTTTAGAACCGTATCAAATATCTAATAATAAATTATCTCCCTACTTGGGCGGAAAGCCATGTGACTATCGTTGAAAAGTGTATTTACGATTTTTAACCTATGCCGAATTATTTAAGGAAATAGGCACTTTTCATCAATGGATTACGCATAATTTTAAAATTTTGTACCCATCGACTCCAATTGTATTGTGTGGAGTTTAAGAACTTTTTAGTATCAATCAATGAATCTCATGCCACTTGGGCGGAAAGACATGTGAGGTAATGTTTGAAAAGTGCATAATTTTACGATTTTTCACCTATGACGATATAGGCGAAAAATGCTTTTTTTCAGCAATGGATTACACATAATTTTAAAATTTGTACCCATCGACTCCATATGTATTGTGTAGAGTTTAAGAACTTTTTTAATATCAATCAATAAAATCTCGTGCCACTTGTGCGGAAAGACATGTGAGTAATGTTTGAAAAGTGTATATATTTACGATTTTTAACCTATGCCGATATTTAAGAAATAGGCACTTTTCAGCAATGGATTACGCATAATTTTAAAATTTTGTACCCATCGACTCAAGTTGTATTGTGTAGACTTTTAGAACCTCCTCAATATCAAATAATAAAATCTCTCCCCACTTAGGCGGAAAGCGATGTGACTAACGTTTGAAAAGTGTATATATTTACGATTTTTGACCTATGCCAATATTTGAGAAATAGGCACTTTTCAGCAATGGATTACGCATAATTTTAAAATTTTGTACCCATCGACTCAAGTTGTTTTGTGTAGACTTTTAAAACCTTATCAATATCTAATAATAAAATCTCTCCCCACTTGGGCGGAAAGCCATGTGAGTAATGTTTGAAAAGTGTATATATTTACGATTTTTACCCTATGCCATTATTTGAGAAATAGGCACTTTTCAGCAATGGATTACGCATAATTTCAAAATTTTGTACCCATCGACTCAATTTGTATTGTGTAGACTTTCAGAACCTGATCAATATCAAATAATAAAATCTCTCCCCACTTGGGCGGAAAGCGATGTGACTAACGTTTGAAAAGTGTATATATTTACGATTTTTGACCTATGCCAATATTTGAGAAATAGGTACATTTCAGCAATGGATTACGCATAATTTTAGAATTTTGTACCCATCGGCTCAAGTTGTTTTGTGTAGACTTTTAAAACCTTATCAATATCTAATAATAAAATCTCTCCCCACTTCGGCGGAAAGCCATGTGACTATCGTTTGAAAAGTGTATATATTTAAGATTTTTAACCTATGCCATTATTTGAGAAATAGGCACTTTTCAGCAATGGATTACGCATAATTTTAAAATTTTGTACCCATCGACTCCAATTGTATTGTGTGGAGTTTAAGAACTTTTTTAGTATCAATCAATGAAATCTCGTGCCACTTGGGCGGAAAGACATGTGAGTAATGTTTGAAAAGTGCATAATTTTACGATTTTTCACCTATGACGATATAGGCGAAAAATGCTTTTTTCAGCAATGGATTACACATAATTTTAAAATTTTGTACCCATCGACTCCATATGTATTGTGTAGAGTTTAAGAACTTTTTTAATATCAATCAATAAAATCTCGTGCCACTTGTGCGGAAAGACATGTGAGTATTGTTTGAAAAGTGTATATATTTACGATTTTTAACCTATGCCGATATTTAAGAAATAGGCACTTTTCAGCAATGGTTTACTCATAATTTTAAAATTTTGTACCCATCGACTCAAGTTGTTTTGTGTAGACTTTTAGAACCTTATTAATATCAAATAATAAAATCTCTACCCACTTGGGCGGAAAGCCATGTGACCATCGTTTGAAAAGTGTATATATTTACGATTTTTAACCTATGCCATTATTTGAGAAATAGGCACTTTTCAGCAATGGGTTACGCATAATTTTAAAATTTTGTACCCATCGACTCAAGTTGTTTTGTGTAGACTTTTAGAACCTTATCAATATAAAATCTCTCCCCACTTGGTGGAAAAGTCATGTGACTGATATTTGAAAAGTATTTATTTTTACGATTTTTTAGCTATGCCGATGTTTGAAAAATAGGTTTTTTCATCAATGGATTACGCATAATTTTAAAATTTTCTACCCATCGACTCAAGTTGTATTGTGTAGACTGTAGACTTTTAGAACTTTATCAATATCAAATAATAATATCTCACCCCAGTTGGGCGAAATGGTTTGATAAAACTGTAATACCAAATGATTCAATTATATGCCTATTTGATACAAAATATCATTTCCAGCAATGTATTTCGGATATATTGTATGGACATATTGGATTGTTTCCAAAAATTCCAAGTTGTAAAATATTGCGTATTTATATTTTTCATTGTTGAAAATGTAGGTATTCTTTCTGTATAAAGAAATGTCAATAAAGTTTAGGTATTTCGGTATTTCCTTTCGGCAATCTCTTTTTAAAGTACTTTCTCGTGCTGTATTGTTGTAGTTTTCAACTCATATATATAAGTTGTTGCTTGATGATTCGAAATTTAAATTTTTTCTTGGACGCTACTATTATTTCAAGTCAGATACATAAGAATATCTTTATTTTGTTCTTTTACTTTCATTTTTCCGAATTATGCGCATGGGAATTTACTCCCGCCTGCAATTCTGCTATGATATTTGAACTTTTTGCTTGGTTGCGCACAAAGGTCACCGTGCGACTCACTTCACAGTGGTTGTGAAAATGGTTAGGCCTTTAAAACTGTAAAACCAGCCGACGATTACCCGAAATCAAGCAAGCTAACGATCCCGATATGAGAGAGATCGCTGACGTTAGCGAATTCGTTTATGGTCGGCGGAGATACCATTTCGGGCGATTGCAGCATTTCTTTGGCAAGCTCTATGACGTGTGTGACGTCGTCGTGAAGTAATTTTGGGATGATGTAGTCAGGTGGGGATTAGGAATAACATATGTTTGTGCCAGGCCAACTAGAATTACATACGGCGTTTGGTGAACATGCGCCCTTTGCAGGACTTTATCACCCACTGTGACGTAGTCAGGTCTCAGTGGGAGACCAGGAATAATATATGCAAAGATTTTTGAGACAGGCCAACTAGAAGTTCCTGTGGTACTATACCAGACCCCGAAAATATTTCTTCTATCAACTCTTACGTAATTTGTCTACATTTAAATATTTTATCCGTATGAAATCATCACAGAACTACCGTGTACCCTGGAGGCCTGAAAAACAGACCCATCATTGTTTCAACAGCATAATATTGCAATTAGGTTACATTTACTCACTATGGAAATATCTTTCGGGGATAAAAGGGCACTGGTTACAGGAGCAGGGAAAGGTACATGCACCACACTTTATATGGTTTTCAGTCAATTCATATCTTCATTCTATTCTCTTTTACAGGTATTGGCAGAGATCTTGCGAAAAGACTCGTCGAATGTGGTGCTGAGACATACGCACTCAGTCGAACAAAGAGCGACTTGGAATCCCTTAAAAAAGAGGTGACAGCAGCATTTTCATGTAAATTTCCATTTAGGTGGACTATCCATATTTTCTTTCTTATTTTTCAGTGCCCAGCTATTCACACGATACAATGCGATCTTGCCAACTGGGATGAGACAGATAGAGCTGTAAAATCATGCGGAGATATAGATTTGCTTGTCAATAACGCTGCAGTTGCAGAACTCGAATCTTTCCTAGAAATCACCAAAGATTGTATTGACAAGTAAGATTTTGCATCTGGCTTTGATTTGTCTGACAATAAATTGTCTTCTTTAACTTTACCCTTTTACGCTCTAGGCATTTTGACATCAATGTAAAGGCAATGATTCATGTTTCTCAGGTATATATATTTCTCTTTCATGATGTATATATTAGCATATGATAAACAAAGAAAGGAAATTCATGACATTCCAGATAGTTGCAAAAGGCATGGTAGCACGGGGAACGGGTGGAAGTATTGTCAATGTATCAAGTCAGGCATCAAAAGCAGCATTGTGGAATCATACAGTTTACAGTGTATCCAAAGCAGCTGTGGATCAATTAACAGCAATGATGGGAGTAGAACTTGGACCTTACAAGGTAAATAACTGAAGTAAAACAATCATAAAAAATTAACACTACAAATGGATATCAGACTTGAAAATGCACGTTTCATTTCCATCAGATAAGAGTTAATGCAGTTCTACCGACAGTTACAAATACAGCCATGGCGTTAGTCGGATGGAGTGATCCAGCAAAAGCTGATCCTATGAAAGCAAGAATTCCACTGAGAAAATTTGCAGGTATTTGTATATATAGCTTTTTCACCCCACAACATATTGATTACGCAATACCTAATGCATAAATAATTTTTGTCTTGCAGAGGTTGAAGACGTTACCAATGTGATTCTATATTTATTAAGCGACAAAGCAGCAATGATCAATGCAACTTGCATTCCTGTGGATGGTGGATATCTAGCAACATGAGCAATCAATGATTATTAAAATTGCAGAATTGGACCTGGATAAAATATTATTGAACTTGGTTACTTTGATTTGATTATTTTGATTACTGTCACTGCAATTATAGACATCCCACCACTGCTTGCTTTTTTCATTTATATATTTAATCATGAAGAATCATTTTTGTTGTAATGTATGTGCCAAATATTTCTGTTAATCATGATGTTGATTGATCAAACAATGTATTGATATGTTCTCCAACAGTTTCTGGTGTATGTTTCAAATACTTCTCAATATTCTTTGTAAATTGAACCATTCTGTACCTAGAAATTATAAGAGCAAAGCACAGTTTATTAATTTTCAAGCTTGCATTTGACCCCAGTCACCTTACATTAGGGGTTATATATATATCATCTCCATCCACATGCAAGGCTGGTAATAATGTTTTTTATATGCTGAAAGGGTCGATTCCTCAGTGTAGTGTCAAATCGATATATTAGTAGAATCCCAGCTATAGAATGGGAGCTTGTGCCTCTGCTATATTTCTCATGATAAAGCTCAATTTGAACAAAAGGAACACAGCATAATTATTCGAGTGGGATGACCTTTCTTACCTAGCCTAAATTTATACCTCATTGTTTAATTCAATGCAATAAATATGAAATATAATATCAAAATCTTCTTACTTGTCTCTGAAGGCAGTATATGGGGGAAGGATTTTCTTTCTTAATGCTTCTCGAATTTCAGTTTTGATGTCTGTATCTGGAACAGCCCATGTTCGATGAAGTTTGACCAAATCATCAAGTTCATTATTGAATGACTTTAGCTTATCTTTCACAACCTGTTTCTCCTTTTCTTTCAACTGAATTTTAAAATATTGCACTTGATAATTAGCAGCAATGTATTCAAGTTCAAAATTGCTCGTTATTTTACCTTTGCTACCTTTAAGAGTATCAATATGAAAAGATCATTCGGGAAAAAGAAACTACTGCAAGAAAGTAATTGTACATTAATTACGTATATAGACAAATCACCACACCTTCTGTCCTGGTTCAGCATGTAATGACAGTCCTTGTTTGTTTTCGTCAGATAAATAAACAGGGAAATTGTCCCAACAATGCAAATATTTTGTCTTCTGTTCAGTAATAACATTCTTATAAATGTTCTCCACATCAGGAATTGATTTCTTAACCAAGTCGAGCAGTCCATATCTATAATTCAAGCAAAACTCCTGTTTTTTGAGCCGTTTTCACCATTAGAGCATAGGTCCTCAAAAGTGTTCCATACAGAGCTGTAGGGGCTCTGAGAGTTATTCGTTTACTTATTACAATACTGACTTGACCAATTTTATAATTGTGCAAAAACGGCACTATTAAAATTTGACAACGGTAGCATCGAGATGTGACAACAAAGACAGTTTTTCGAATATGACATTATCTATAAGTTACAATATTTTTTTCATTCATATAAATTTATTGTGGGGTAAATAGTGGTCAATCTCTTCACAGGCTCCATAACACTAAAAGTTTGAAAAACCCTGCCATAGAAGACAGACATGTTATAGCCAAAAACAATGGTTGCCAATATATACAGTTATTTTTGCAAGGAAGAATACTAATTACCTACTTCAAAAACATTACTGAAACTACTAATGAGGAAGCGTCACTTCTTGATGCATACCAGTATATTCCTCTATTTTTTTACTCACCGGTTTAGTGCAGAAAGTATAAAGTTATAATTGTTGAGGAGAAATATTGCAGCTAATGATTGATCCACATAGACTCTTGATTTATTCTGCAAGTTTAACTTCAATGCACCCAACACATGACCTGTGAAATATTATTCATACAATTTAAGATCACAATTTTTTATGACCAACAAGAAATTTATTAAATCATTTTGAACCCAACAATCTCACTTGTGTACTGAGCCAAGCATATAACACTTTTGCTTCCCAATTGTTGTGTTCCATGGTGCTGTGATGCTAAAATTCCACCTGCAACATCGAGATTCTGCGCAAGCTGTTGCATAAATTTCATAGCCTGTTAAATCAAGGACATGTTGTTGACAAACATTTTATCAATTTATACTAGATGGGGGAAGGCACTTGTATAACCATGAGATTGAAAAAGATATAGTTCACAGTGGAGAATGTTTTTTTTATAAACTCAATACAAGGTAAAAAAAAATGAAGTTTAAAATAAATGAAACTGCAAGCAAGATTTGCGATAACATTAAGATCTCTGCACCACCGAAGCTTCTTCTATGGCAGTGATAGATATCGCCAATTGTTGCGTCATTATCACAGTTTGAGCATGTGTATATTGCTAACAATTCAATTATACCAGTATGTGATTATACGGTACCGGCCCTTGCCGGCGCTCCCAGCCCGCGAATATCCCTCCGCTTCTGATTGTGGCCCACGCTCCCCGCCCGCGAATATCCTTCCGTGTGTAATTTTAGTCCCCGGTCAAACAACTTTGGGAACCATTGTTCTATGGGATTGATCCTAGAGTCCAGATATAGTAGATGAAAAACATGCATATATGACAAAGTGTAGCAATCAAGCGGAAAACAATGCAATAACATTAAAATGTGTTGATTAGATGCGCTACCGATAACACTATGGGATCACTTTTAGATCCTAGATATAAAGTAATATACATGGTACACCTTTAGAAGAAAAACATACATTGCTTGTAAGTTCATGTACAGTCCCATCCTTAGGCATATTAGATTCTTTTTCGGGATCACTCTGCAATAATAATAATAAGTATCCAATCAGTGGGTAGATGTAGAACATAATACACTTCAACTATCTTCAACACTGATATTCTAACCTTGACGGAATCGGTGAAATCATCCAGCACTTTGACAGCAGTAGCGTCAAGCTCACTGATGAGCTTTGGAATCTTGACTTTATTTTCTTCAGCAGAATTCTGAATTTACAATTCCATGATATTAAAATATATTATTTTTACAAAATAAAATTCTTTAGCGTCCATTTTCAAAACAGTATACAGTACCTTTAACAAATCCAGATACAGAGCAAGTTTATTTTTCAAATGTTTTACAGCAGGAAATATATTGACAACGGATGGATGATCATGCCTAGCGATACACTGCTTTGCATAAGTCGCAAATTTCTAAAAAAAAAAAAATTTAATGTTTCATGAAGTATACGATATATGACCATTTTATAAGCTGGCTGGCAAACTATATCTGGTTTTAATACTACATCTCACCATTCCATCCTGTTCAAGCATAACCAAACTGTCACGTATGATTGAGTCAAAGATTTTTCCCTTGTTGATAGCATCAGGTAATATACTGTTCATCAGACGATACTCAATCTAAAACAAAACACAATTGAAAATAAGTGCTGGTCGAAGTACTAATGAGAGTGCTGGACCCTTCGCTGCTGTAGGGTAGTTCACATAACCCAGGTCTTTTTCCAACAATAACTATATGGAATGATGAACTGAAGACGATTGAAAAATAGCCGCTTGGACATTGCATTCTGTAGACCAGGGGTGTGCAACCTTTATTACAGGAGGGCAAGATACAAGTAATTGGGTGGAGTCACAGCCCGCACCTTTATTTAAGATAGCCTTTCTAGTAGTTGCAATCACAAAAAACTGTTCATTTTTGTTATTAATCTTACGGCATTGTCCTTGCAGATATGGTAGTTAAAATGCATAAATTTCTAAAGAAAACTGCTATTCAAATTTCTTGTCTAACGAACTTTAAACGAATTCAGTATAGGCTTTGCATCGCAAAGGGATTGGAATTGCTTGTATATACCAGATTAACTAAACTAAAAACTCGTTTTGCGGGTACACCATTCAAAATTGGCACTTCTCCACGGGCTACACAATTTTTCCTTGTGGCCCGCGGGCTGCACACCCCTGCTGTAGACAGTTGAGATTACTGTATTGCATCTGATACTTACAATAAATAATTTTTCTGCCAGAGTAACAGCTTCTAGAAATGGATCAATCTCAATTTCAACAGTATCTTCTTCTGCAATGGTTGGGTATGCACTTTTCAAACCTTGGGATTAGAGATCAGACAATTATTAAATAATCATCAAATATTTACACCCAGTAAAAACCTCATTACGCATGGTAACATAAATAGCAGACAACCAAGACAAAGTACTGAGTATTTTTTTTTTTAATTTACCTAAAGAAAAGCAAAATTTTTTCCAGGTCTTGTATGATAATGACAACGTTATGGTTATATCATTCATCTACCTAATATTAAGCTGTTTCATGCAAGTCATCAAACAATCAGTACAGATTATATATAGCATGCAAGTAAACAATTAATGATGTTAACCATAACCAATGCAATATGAAAAATAGTAACAACTTCTGAAAATAATTTGAATCGAAAATTAGCTTGAAATTTTCTCACATCATGTTATGATAAATGTTTGCACACAAGTCATGCAAAACTAAAGATTGAGGGCAATAATAAAAAATGGAATTGATGTACGTGTTTTTTCTACACATTAAATGTTTGAAATTTAAAGTCTGATTCTTCGACTGAACATTTAGGCTAACAAAAGAATATTTTTGAGAAATGTTTGATATCCAATAGCGACATGAAGTGAAGTGTATCAATTTGAAAATGTAGACAAGCATGAAAAATAATGAATTGTTGAAAAATATCGCAAGATGTATATGATGCATGCAGAATGGTAATTTACAATGAATATGATATAATTCTGTTCTGGGATTGAAAAGCCTTTCTTTGGACACAATTTAACATCAAGGAATTGAGTAAATGAATATTATTGTAGCATTGATACTGTTCATTTGTTTTAATTCATAATAATGCATATGTTTGATGTATAATGTAGGTAGGAGTTGCAGATAAAAAGTGAACGAAATAATATTATATAAAATCAGGGTCTTCAAAATCACATCTATTGTGCACAAAAAGACACCTGTTGCAATTGATTCTAAATAGTAATGTGCTAAGTGATCCAGTCCTGAATAATTTAAATATTAAGAATAAATTATAATCATTAAAGCTTGATGAATATGATAATGAATGGGAGTATATAACTTGTTTTGGTAGAAGGTGTTGATAATGTTTTTGAAGCAATTACACTGTACTTCTGGTTTATTAACTATTAAGTTATTTCAGTCGGGAAAACAAAGTCCAATATTGGCACAACTTCATAGCTTATCGGAACAATATCTTCCTTAAACAGGACTGGTTACGTACAATTTTTGAAACAAAAAATATCAGAAAACAATAGAAAGTGAATAGATTTTGCACACCTTCTTTTCTCTTTTCAAGAATTCTGAAATAAAAATGCATTTACAATTTTTATACTTTTGTATAAAAGTTTGAGCATTCTTTTGAAATTTGAAAGCATTGAAATGTGACCGAGGTAAATATAGAAACAGTATCAGTAACCATGTATAAAGATATAATTATGCACGTCTCGATATGGAAAAACATCAAATTTGAACATTTTATCGATCATTTCAGAAATAACCTGCACTCATATACACTAAAATTAATATTTTTTTTTCCAAGAATATAAAAGCAGCAATCAATGACCAAGACACATATCTTAAAATGGAACGTGTTGATATGTTGTGATCATATTATCAGTTCACAGGAGTATGCAAATGATGATTTATATCCAATTTGAGCAAAAAATAATGGGCTTGGCATGACTTGATAGCGAACTGATAACCAATTCATTCACAAGTATGAAGCAGACTATACTTCATAATTTTCTGATGTTTCAGAACCAAATCTATGATATTTGAGTAAGCAATAAACACATTTTGAATGCCGGTAATCGTAATGAAAATGGAAACATATTTGAAAAACCTTATATGCAACCGTATTAGTAACTTTATAACACTACAATTCTTTCAAGCTACAGTCTATATCACCAGTAAACTCATTCCATCAATGTTATTTGTTAATTTAGTTGACTACACAGATACCAAGATTCCATCTAATAAACAGCAGTAAACATGTCTATATTCTGGTAATTCATAAAATTAATTTTATATCAATGATTAGTTACTAGTCAAAAACTTAAAACTAAAAATTTTGGACTTCAATTAGAACTAGATTGATATCGAATACTTGAACCATATGAAATAATTTGAGCATTTGGCAAAACATTTGGTTTTGGTATTAAAAGTAGGTAACTTGAATTAAATACCAGTCTTGATGCGTCGATTGTTAGTGTTTTATTATTTATAAAATTATTTTTTCACATACTGCATATATAAACAATTATGGGGAAATTTCTTTGTTCTTCCGAATATAATAACAAGGATTAGCCACAATCGATCTTTACTAAATTGTCAAATTCTTTGAATTAGATGTTAGACATTCTACATTCTATGAATGCCTGACCACACACCATGATCATGCTATGAAATACTGAATGCCATTTGTTAGCAAAAGACATTCATCTTATCACTCCACCCAAATGCATATTTAATATACCTCCCAAATTACTAATTGACTGTAGGGATTCTTTTCTTAGCAGGGTACTTGCTTTTTTCGAGAAAACACTGAAACAAAAAGCAGTTAATGCTATTCGGCATTCAGAAAGCTGGAAGACATTTTTTTGTTTACACGAGGTGATTCCAATCAATACGACATAACCGAAAAGAAAATGGCGATAGTTGAAGTATTAAATTCCCACCTTGCCAGTATACTATATTGAGACAACCATACAAATACATAATAATTATTTATCAAAATTGGGGTAGTTCCAGTTCATTTTTGATAAAGGACTGTATATATATTACCTTGCTCTTCGACTTGCACTTTTCTTCGGTGTATCTCTTACATTGCTAGACTTTCGTGATCCCTGATGCATCATATATATTGAATAATTCGGAAATGTTTAGAACACTGTTCAACATTTTTCGTCGGTGGGCCATATCACCAACTTCAGACATCTAGCTGGGCCACTCAAAAAATTTAGTTTTTGCAGAATAGGCGACCCAACTGCTTCAAATTTTAGAAAGTTGTTGGCTGAGAAGTGCCAAGCAACCAAAATAAGTTATAAATAAAAATTATTTCATCACATGGCGCGGCGGTGTGGCTCATCGATGTCACCACACCCTGGTTACTCTGCGTGGGTTCCCAAGTTCAAATCCCATGCGGGGATAGGTATGTGCGAGAGGATTGCTGGACTCCCCGCAGCCGTTGGGTGGTTTCACGTAACTGCTGGTCGGTTACGGCTTCCTCCACCATCCAATCAATGATTTCGAAAACAAATAACTAACTAATCCTAGACTCAACATGGAATGGTAACCGGACGAGTGGCCGTGGTTCGCCATATGGTTAAGCCGTCTTATCGTCTTTTCTCTCCCAGGGATAAATATGTGAATCCTAACCTTCTAATATAATGTTGTGACCAAGTGTTATGGAACATTACATATTTTCCCCCATGTGAGCCCCCTTTTAAACATAAATTGTCGGATAAGGATTTTATGCTTGAGCGTTGACAAGGGCCATACGGAACTGCTCAGCGGGGCCAGGTTGTGGCCCGCGGGCCACCTGTTTCACACCCCTTCTCTAACTGAACACACACTAAAAAGCATAGCATACTATATCAAATGGAAAATTCAGAACAAATGAAATATCCAATTTTTTAAATCTTTGTTAAAATTATACAAAACCTCTACATTACTGTAGTGTACAATGTAAAATTACATTTACATGAGTTGAGTAATGAGATTGTTAATCACATCAAAAAAAGTTCTTACACTGGATGCTCTATCTCTGATGTATTCTTTTAATCTGGTAAACATTTATATAAATATTAGAATTAAGTTCTAAAACCTAAGTACTAACAGAATATATTCATTATATATTTACATAATAATAATTTGAAAATGTAATAAACCCTAATATACTGAAGTCAAAGATAATTTGAATATGGTTTGGCTTTGATATAGGATTTTATTTTGTACTTCAATTTCATTCTATGTATTATTGATAAACCAAGTAAAATGATTTAAAGAATTGAAGATTATCTCCACAACAACCATATTTTATCATTTGAAAATGGTGAATTTACAGATTTTAAGATATGAGCAAATCAACATACAAAGTCGCTCAAAACAATCCTTTTACTTACGCAATGATCGTTTTCTGCAAGTTGCTTGATCTGATAGTAGCATAATTGGTTGCATAATCTAAAAAATTGATGTCAATAATATAGTAGTAGTAACAATAATGTATCAATAGAAGATAGTCATAAAAAAGAATTTCAGAACTACAATTGCAGAGGATATCTTCAAACTATCATTACTAATACCTGATGTTTTTTCTTGATTTGATAACCATTTAGCCATCTTTGACAAATCACTCACTGCTTTTGGTGGGAGAGGGATTATTCCTGGTGTAGAATCAGGTGGAACAATCATAGTAAGCTGGCCTTCCTCTTTTACGCCAGAATCATCTTTCAACCTCAATAATTGGTCTGGTTGTGTAGGTTTGGAATGCCTACTTAATTGACCCTGAAACTCACTCTCCAGTTTGTCTTTACCAACATCAAATAATTGTTTCTATAACGATAACATAAATAGAAAGTGAAAAAAATGAATATATTTGAAAGTTATTTATTTATGCCAACGAAGAAGAGGAAGTTTAAAGATGTAGTGTCAGAAAACCTTGTATTATTTAGATAAAATTTTTTTTAGTCTCAAAAAAAATGTTTAAAGACACTCCGGTATTATTAGAGATATCATGCCCTATTGTAGAGCTTCGCCATTAATTTACAGTAAAATCAGGGTCACTATAACACTCTTTTCCAAGCTTTATTTAGGCTCTAATATTTATGTTTTGCTAAGTAGTGTTGGCCTATTGTGCTTTTGGTTAAATTTGCTCATAGAATAAAAATCATCATATTGAAACGATTGGTAAATTATTATGTACAGAACACTTCAATGAAGTAAGTAATTCATTTTATACCACAGTGTTGAGTTCCGGACTATCTGGATTATTTTCCTTGAAGAAATTAACGGCATTCAACAGTCTCTCCATACATTCTATATAACGGTCAACTTGTCGACTTGGTCTGCAAAAATTGACAATTTGAGTGAATTAATGGGAATGAAGATTATGCTATCAAACACCATGCTAGACACCCATGTCACCTAAGTGTAAATCAATTGTACATACAAACATGATACCTATGTTTAATAGATTTACTTTTTTGATTAACAGTTTCCTACCTTTGGTTGCACACAGCTCTAAATAAGGCAGCAATAGGTGAAAAGAAAAATCCATAACTTCCCGACTACCAATTTATTGAACCTTTCAGAAAATGAGTTTCATCAAACTCAAAAATCTTTAATGCAGTGAAAAGATTTATGCCAAATTTAGGATATTCAAATGGATTGTGTTCAAATATGTATACATGTCAACCGGATAGATTTGAAAAAAAAAATTTGATTTTGCGCTTTCTGTTATTTATATTTATTATTATATAAACAATCAAATCCTTACCCTTGATGGAGGACAGGTCCAATATCCTTAGCAACATGATGATAACTTATCACATCATCAAAAGAAATTATAGTTTTGTCAATGTCTGTAGATGCCAGGTATCGGAATATACATTACAAATAGGATAGAATTGGTATAGTCTGGTATGTCTTACATGCAAATTTGTTCGTTTAATTTTACACCAATTTTCAAAAACATGCGATCGGTCTCTTGTATAAAGGTTGTTAGAAATTGGTAAAATTTTGGAAACTAATAATTCCAATTTGGAAACAATTTCAGTACAAAAATTTGTTCGATTCTGGATATGCAAATGTTTTAGAAATTTGCTATTTTAACCAATTTTTTCTAGGGCTTGGTTGGAATTTGAGGAAAAGTATGATGCTGGTAAATCGAAAGAAAAATGAATTAAAAAGTAAACTAGCCTAACAAACTATTATGACATATAAGATACTGAGATGAGTTGAAAATATTGAGAAGTGGTGAATGAATAATGTAACTATCATAGCGGGATCTATAGAGACAAGAAAAAGTAAAGCTAAATCATATATTTTATTGGGTATGAATGATAACTAAGGATACTGTCTTGTAAACGTTGAAGATCTTTTGTTTCTCTATGAACTGGTATAATAGTTTCTTCAAGCTTATGTAATCTCTCATCAAAATGGCTGAGGATGTTAACCTGAAACACAAAATTTAACATTCAAATTTGTTAAATTTGAAAATTGTACTTTTCTCATTTGGAGAAGATCATACTTTTATAAACTGCTTCTGTATAATAATATTTATACTTATCAAATATATAAAACTGAACATGAAATGTTCTTACCATATTATGAGTCAGTGCATCTGCAGTTGCCAAACTTTCTTTCAGCGCTGCAAGCTTCCCTTGTTCCTGCACCAAACAGAATAGGCATGCTGTATATTAAAAATATCAAACTCTGGACACTTAGTTAATAATTTTTTTAAATCACAGTATCAGGCTTGCCTTTATCAAATTTCTGAACTTTAAAAATATTTATTATAATAGGAAATTGTTCAGTTATGAAAAAAATGAAGGTTTACTGAACTACAGCTGCCACTTCCTGACTTCAGAAAAATTTTTATCATCACAAAGACTTCAATAATACAAGGCAATAATACCGGTACAGATATATAACAAATGAGAATCTGAGAAGAATAGCATGACTTCATGACGGTGCAACATGCAAATACCGAATTCTCATACCTCTGCTAGTTTTCTTTCAATTTCCGCTTTACGTGAGTAGCCATAATCCATTGTAGATAAATCCAGCTGTAAGAAAGACGGCAATCGTCCTGGTTCATGCAATAATATAGCAAGCTCTCGCTTATAGACTAACTCTACTTGAATAACGTATTTTTCCACTGTAAGTCACTGGATGTCAATCAGTAAAATCCTATCCTAAATGCAAATCCTATCCAGTCGTCTATTTGTCAAAATTAACAACGACTGCAAAGGCCAGAAGACTTCACACTTTACACAGCAAACAAATATAATGGACCATTGACTGACCAAATTCACTTGTGTGATAGGAGTCACATTCTCTTAGCAATAAAACGAGCAGGTTATCTGAAAATAAATAAATACCAAACAAACTGGGAAACATCACAACAATTTTGCAAAAATATATTAAAAATACATACATAAAAATCGCGAATAGATAAAAAAAAAATTATAGAGAAAAGGCATTTTCGGAAAATAAACATATAAAATACGTACCGTGTTTCCCCGAAAATAAGACAGTGTCTTATTTCAATTTTCTTTCGAAAAATAACACTGGGGCTTATTTTCGGGGGATGTCTTATAATTTTATTTATCAAAAACAAAATTAGAAAGTACAGAATTGGAAGATTTTCATATATAAAAAAATATGAAAACCGATATCCATTTACTCGAATGATACGTTTTCCTCAGTTGGTTTTTCTCTCTCACACGTTTTAGATTAATCATTTAAATTTTAAAACGTGTGGGAAAGATTTCTTGCTATCGACAAAGTAAAAAAAAAATTGCGTTATTGACTAGATATTATTTTAAGGGGAGGGCGTATATTAAATTCATTCTTGAAATTCAGGCTAGATCTTATTTTCAGGGTACCGTATGTCTTATTTCGGGGAAACACGGTAAATCAGCGAATAGTAGCCTCCAGGGGCGTGCCAAACTTTTCTGCTGCCGGGGTGAGTTTCTGATTATGACGCCCCTTATCCCTATCTTAAAAATGTATATATATATATATATATATGTCATTATACATGAGAATAAATAAATTAAAAGCCAAATAAGAGAGAAACGTTTGTTTTATTGGATCAATCATCAAGCTAAGCAACAAACTCGCATGTATAAAATCGAACTCATTTATTAAAAAAATGGAAGTCACTTGTTTCTATGTCTAGTCGCTACTTTGCTGTCAACGAATGTCTGAACGACAGGCTCTTCTACCTCGCTCGCCAGCAATTTTTTTCGATGCTAATCAGAGATGACCTTGGAGGGCGCTAATTTGACATCTAATACCTCAAATATGCTTTTATCTGTTTCAACTTTGAGAAAGATCGTTTGCAACTAGCAAATGATTATTTAATTTTGAGTAATAAACAATATGCAATGCAAAAAGTTTTTGCATCCAGATTTTCTGGCATGGTTGTAAACACTACCTCATTTTCGCGTTTTTGCATGCTATTTGTTAGTTTTTGGTAATGTTTCGGAAATTATTAAGGCGTCAACCCGCGAAACCATCTTCACAATGAGCACCAAAAATGTTGCATTAGTAAAATATAGGAAGAATTTTTCTGGGGTCGGGGGTCATCACACAAAGCATGGTCACACAATATTAATAATGATAACAAAAAAGCGATGATCCACTTTATGGACGCAAGAGCCAAAACGAAGTAGTACGGGTATGCAATCTGTCGCAGTGGACTACCGCAGTGGGATGCAATTTATTTTTTCATTTCGATGACGTCATCGCCCACAACAAAGGAATCCCATAGGCATAGAGTTCACAGGAATTTTTGAAATAAATAAAAATAGTATTCTTCTAGCAAAAAATACCATCTTCAACCACTGAAAATTTGAATCAATTTGTCCAGTAGTTAATGGGAAAAGCAACAGATTAGGTTGAATTATTCCAAATCCAAATGAACAAGTCGGTCTTTGATCTAACAAATAAAGATATGAGCGTTTCCCCGAGCATCGAATAAATAAATTAGATAATCAGAGAGATGTCAACGGTGAAGTAACGATTAAAATTTTGTCAATCGCCCAGACACTTTTTTTCTATACCTGGAAATGGATACTAGCTAACTAAATTCCGCCTGGTCATGTCGTCGTAAACGAAGACCATTGAAAGATATGATAAAATTTGTAGTGTGGGCTACATAGCCTACCTAAGTTAAAATTTGACAGATGAAAATGTGATTACATTTAACATTATTGTGTACGAAATGTACATATGTGTCGTTTTGTTATTATGTTGTTCTTGCCCATGTTTAGTTCCGTGTTAATCGCTTTTCTTATTAACTACTGGACCAATTGCTTTCAAATTTTCAATGGTTGAAGAAAGATTGTATTTTGTGCTAGAGGATATTAATTATTATATATATTTTAAAAATTCCTGTAAAATTCGTATTTATTGCGATGACGTCATGAACTTGATGGTAGGCGAAGCCGTAACCGACCAGCGATTACGTGAACCATCCTACGCTACAGCGAGGGGTCAAGCATTCCTCACATAATTACCTTACCTTACACGGGATTCGGAACTTGTAAACGTGTGGCGCATCCTGATAGGCGTAAGGAATACGATTGTCAAAGCACCTTTGATTACCCTGTGTAAGCCAATTTTTATCTATATTTCAATTTCCACAAAACATTTCCTCCGTCTGATTTATTGTAACTAATCTGGTTTATGCCGAAATACATCTTATTACACTGAATATTTTCAAAGTATATATATGTTTAACAAATATGGAAAAAGTGTAGGTATGAGGGTCAAAAGTGAGGCGAGCGAGACAAGTGGGGAAACTGAGACACGTGAAACAAGTGGGACACGTTGGATAAGGAGACACCCGTTCAAAGAGGGTGGGTTGGGAATCAGAAATAGAGTGAATGTCAATGTGTGATAAATGAATCTGATAGACTATTTGTTTAAATTTATTCCACATGTTGTAAACCTTTCCAGACGGGGTGCGATACCATCTAACGAGTTCAAAGTCCTTGGCAATTTACATTCAGGAATATCGTAGATACCAATCGTCGAGTCTAGGAAGCACGAACCATTTACTACAGAAAAATCCGACGGAGATTTATCTAGTGTTCAAGACATCAGTTTCATTACATCAAATTTTCGAGGATAATATTTTGCTATATGATCAGGGTAAGGGAAGCCGAAATAGACAGATTAATCCTACGACGAACCATAGCATCGCGCTGGTAAGTAATAATTCCCAGTACCTGGACTTGTACGATAACAGGAATTGCAACGGATACACACGATCCCCCGCGGGCTAGACCGCCTCGCAATCCTGTCCTATACAATTAGTCGCCAAGGCATTCAAGCGATTTCAGCTCATGGAATGTGTACTTTTGTAGTAGATCACCTAGATTCTGTAGCATTCTCGGCAACATACCGTGGAACATATAATATTAAGTCCAACAAAACTCTTATATGATGATTTCAGGAAATGGGAATATTCACGAGATCCCACAGTCATCCGCTATACTAGTCGGAAAATCTGGCTGGTAATAATTTGGTTCCCCGTCAGTCTGATTGATTCATTCAGCATTTATGCGCTTCGACCAACAGAAAAAATTAATATCAGTCTCTATTCCCCTTAATTTTGAAATGCTGGCACCAACAATATCACTGTCCTGATTCAGTATCCGAAATCTTGTCTCAATACAGAATCAAACGCAAAATTATCAAGACAACATTAACAAACAATGGAAAGGCACAATAAAAATTGCTAATAAGAGGATTTGGAAATATCAAATAGTACCAATGGCATACAATTTCAAGTGACGTGACTAAATCGCCAGCATTGGCTTTAACGTTCACAAGTGGTTGGTAACGGTGACATGATATTGTGTATTTAAATTATGTTTCATCTTGGTGAATACTCTGTGGCACATATCTTGATCAATATACAAGTATTGTTCAAAAGTGTTTGTATAAATACTTGATCAATAACAAGCAATGTCAAACAAATTGTGTCCATAAAAAGGCACAAAGGCAGTGAAAATTCTGTTCTTCTGTCAACGCTATTGTAGAATACATTTTAGGACACTGAATTCACATGATAGTTTCAACAGCAATAAGTGATGCGACAAAAGATCGGCACTTTGGTAATCCCAGCTCCATGCTTCGCACCAAAAACTTCAGGCAAGTTTCCAGACATATTTGATTGATGCATCACACCACTGATGTTGTAACTTGTCTTGTGGATACCCAAGCATCAAAAACATCCCTGAAAAGAATTGAGAACCTTTATATAATCAAAATATTAAAAAATATATATATATTTATATAACCGTACTAATTCCCGTTGCTGAATACCAATAACCATTTCCTAATTTTCAATTTTTTTATTACCTGCAGTGACTGTACACACATTCATTACTGCAATATTCATTATCCCAATATGGACATGAAACAGCTAAATTATTGCAACCTTCTCTGACACAACGCCGAGGTGGGGCATCATCTATGCCAGCTCTTGACAGTCCCTGATCCTGGAATGAATATAAATAGATATATTTTAAATGATATTTCTAAAAAAATGGCCAAATTTTCTATTCACAACAAATTATTGGAAAAGCAGTACCATTCTTTTTAGACACAGTTTATGAAACATATATGGTAGATTTGCATTATTATTTTTTTAACAAAACAGAAGAAGTAAACAACCACACCTGCTCAGTTGTTGTTTTATTGATATCCATGGAAGCAATATGTGATTCCGTTTGGAGTAAATTTTGTTGGGGAATTTGCATCAGTGCATTCTCGTCAATTTCATTTTCTTCATTCTAAATTTGTATACAGAAAATAATACAAAGCAGTCTTTTGAGACTAAGTCCCCAAGCCTTTTTATTGAGGAAGAGATCAATTTAAATAAATATGATAAATAAATAAAGCGGTTTTGAATAATATAAAAAATTAAACATTTGAGTTTTTATGATGAAATGATAATTTCATAAAATTGAAATCACGGTGAATTCGCACAAACCTGTGATATATCTCGTTCATGTACTTGCATTCTTGATTCTGATGTTTCTTGAGCAAGAAGTTGAAGTATAGGGGTATGGTCCTGTGATTTTGACAACATTTGTGACTGTTGGATGTCTTGTTGAGTTTGGATGGATGGACTTGGTGTTCGCACAGGCCGAACAACATCTACCATTTTGATTATTCGTCCTTTCACAGCATCCGGATTTAAATTTGATTGAGCAAAAGTGACACCACCCTGCATGACAACAAAACTTTAATGTAGCAACTAGCAAGCAGTGAAAATTGGAAAAAGTACTAAAAACAATTTTACTCTTCTTGAGGGATTTGTTCTGAGCAATGGCACACATTTTACAGTACATAAGACTCTGAGCAAAGTTGAAGGCAATAGCTAAAACCCAAAATTCGATTGATCAGTCCCTCATAATCCAATGGCAACACTGTTTCTTAAGAAACTAAATCCAACTAAAATGTGTAGTTATTAAATCTTTAACTTACTGATTGAGACGGAACTACTCTTATAATTTGTCCAGGTTTGTTTGGTAGAAATGTGATGGGTGAGTCAGGTTGTTGTGAAACAATATTTCGCAACTGAATAGGTGGTGGTGGGGACGGAGTTGCAGCAGTAATATTCTGTGGTTTGACGACAGGTGAAGTCTGGGGATGCATTACTATATGTTTCGCTGTGGGCTGATTTAACACTGGTGGTGCCATTGTTGGCTGCTGCATCACAGTATTTGTAGACGTATTTGATACAGAGTTTATGAGATGTATTGTTGACTGTGCTCCATTTTGTCCTGGAACTATAATTTTGGTCAAAATCACTGGTGATGGTGGCCTCATGGATTGAGCTACCTGAAGATACAGAAACAAATATGTGTAGAACAAAAATGATAAACAAGCAGAGACAATGTGAAAGAAAATTTGAAAGCCAGCTTTTACCAGAACCAGTGCAAAGATTAAATCACAGATTGATCGTTGGGAATGGACAATAAATTCATTAACTTATTTTGCCATAAAACAAACTGTTATCGGCAATATCAATAATGTCCGCACTCTGAAATGTAAATCTCAATCATATGCCACACATTATAGAACTCATATTGAATATGAATGTTTTTTCAGTAACATATCAAGTAACGGAAATTGGATTATTTGCTTACCTGTTGCTGTCCTCCTGTTGTTGTATTTAACATTACAGTATTATTCATTGAAACTGGATGTAATTTGAGTTCTGGCTCTCCAAGCTGAATATCTAATAAAAAATAGAAACATGTAAATGATTTAACTTAAATATTACAACACTAAAATATGCACATAAAAAGATTTTAATACCTGGATGAGATATACCAGGTGCAAGATGTAAACGTGGGGGAGGAGGAAGATTCTCCTCCGTAGATTCAGTGAGATCAATCACAGATGAACTTGAATTGTTCGAAGAACTTGGACTTGATGTTGTGGCTCGTTGTTCTGCCATTTTATCTCGTAAAACTGAAAGAGGTTGAAGATCTTCTTCTTCTGCGTCAAGATTTCCCTGCAATCACATAGTGGAAATTAGCAAATAATGATTTATTATTTCACAAGATGCCGCTTCAGAAGTGTGTGTACCTATATGGAGGTAACTAATTTTGTTCGCCTACTTTACATCAAGTTGTGTACTTATACCGTACTTATCCAAATCTAATCTTCATCTGGGAAATAAATATTTTTTTTTAATCTCAAACATGCATATGTTACACAAATGATTAACCAAGTGAAATATTCTTTATTTCTAAAAAACAACACAAAATAAAACCTTTGATATCATATTTGCTCGGAATGCAGCTAAATGCTTCAAGTAATCTCTTTTCGCTGTTTCGGTTTTCTGTTTGTAGACCTAGATAAAAAAAAGGAGTAATTTTGTTATAATATATGTCAAACTAAATCAATCAATAAGCATAAATCTTTTCAACAATCTACTGTCAGAAAGAGAATATATGTACAAATGGCGCTCCAGAAATGTGTGTACCAATATGGAGGTAACTAATTTTGTTCGCCTAATCTACATCAAGTTGTGTAAAGGCACTGAAACGAATATTAACTTGGCTAACACAGACAGTCCCCGAACTCGTAAGTCGTAATAGAACTAAAAAAGGAAAATCATAATAAAATTATGGCCTAACCCTAACCTGGTACCTGGCACACTATGGGAGTACCATACAAAGAACAGAGTTACACTCTAAATTCAGAACGAATTTATTGTGAAAGCGTGCTTAAAATAGTAAGTAGTGGCAAGATACTGCCTGGTTACATCATATGTCCAATACCGGCCATTACATCACCATGCATTAATAATTGAACATACATACATCATCACATAAAATTAACTGAAACCAATCCATGGGTATTGTATATCAAGGAAACATCAAGTATAGTATATTACCTGCTTTGCTTCTTCACTTAAACTATCCCACATTGAAGCAACAATTTTAGAAATTTCACCAAATGTTGCAGATGAATTCTCAGCTTTGATAGCAGCTTGAGTATCTCTGTTAAAAAATATTGAGAAGATTGGTTAAGATATCATTTAAGTAAATTGAAAATGAGAAAATACTGATAAATGTGAGAGCCCTGGCTTTAGTATAATTTTTCCCAGTCTAGATGTATAATTTATTTCACACTGATATGGGTGCAAGCTGTCACACGTTGAAAATAGAAAAAAGCCTAAACAATGATTAAATATTAATTTTTCAAAGTTACATCATTAAAGTTTCGAATTCAATTACGTCATCTAGAAATTCTCTAGAATCCCTGTGAATACCAGTATCATTAGGCAAGCATGAATTGTCTATGATGGCCACAGTCAAATTATGTTTCCTTGCGTAATAGCAAGTAATGATTTCCAGAGAGTTAATTATTTAAGGGAATAATAGTAAAATACTGGTTCTAAAAAAAATGCTGAAGATGTATCTATACTAAAAGATAAAAATCTATGCTACAGAAGCCGGCAAGGTTGGCAATATGATATAATTCACAAAGTTTATAACTTAAATTTAATTAACCTAAAGAAAAGGGCATAAGCTGAAACTGGTCGTTGTGGTTCATTTGCTCCCTTTTTCTTCCTTTTTTTCGTAGCTCTTTTCTTGACCTCCGGAGAAACTTTTTTATCCTGAATCCAGAATAATATTAAAAAATAAATAGAAGCTGTGACATGTTATTAAAGGTATTAAAATACTGAATACAACATTATTTGTTTTGAATTAAGCAAAAAATGGACAAAACAAATTGAACAATTGTGAACCAAAAAGAAATTCGAATAACTTATATCAATGGCATGAATAAAATGAAATACAGTCAAACAATCATATCTTTTCACCCATCCACTAACCAAGTGAACCATTATTAATTATTTAAATATTTCAAGAACATGAATGTGAATATAAATAGTTATTTTCAATATGAATGTAGGACAGTGGACATATTGATAAATACATAATGTGATACATTATCTACTGGATGAACAATCAGTAAACTTACCATTATTCTGCTTTGAGTGTTAACTAGAGCTTGATTGTTGTAGGTGTATGGTGAATATCCTAAATAAATGAATGACATTTTTTACAAATACCTATATCAATAACATTCAAATCTACCCTTTAAAGCTATCCATTTATTTTACTGTTGATCTTAAACAAGACATTCGGATAGATTTCAAAACTATAAGTGAACTACTGTAACTATCTGTTAAATAAATTCATAAATCATAGGTTATAATCAAACTTTATTTAAATTATTAGTAATCTAATTTAAAACAAACAAAATCTAAAACCAAGCAATCTCATTGACCCACAATTTACCTCTGTTGATATTCCCTGAAGAATTGATAGTTGATCCAAATGTTTGATGATGCACAATATTTGAGTCGTAGTAAGGGGTCAGATTTGTAACATCCTGCAATGCACAATGTTAATGATTTAGGATGCAATACAGAAACAGTGCATAAAATGTTGATAGGAAAACAAATGAGCTATGATTTCTACTATGCTTCGATAAACCATTTATATCATCATGATAATGTAGTAACTATAACTTTGAAGTCAACAGCAACCTGTTATATTTCTCTTTTTGCCTCTCAAAATAAAAAAAATCAGGCATCCGAACATATTTTACTAAAATAACAGTCATAAAGCCTAGCTCAGTAGTCTGATATCAAAAAAATTCCAAACTGTAATTATTATAATATTTATTTAATTTTGATAAAGCTACTCCTGTCACAATGTCAGATCACATTGTGTATATACAAAGGCTATCAGCTACCGAAGGTATACAATTGAAAGCAACAATAACCTAAGGGCAGAAATCGTAAATTAGCGAATGTTCCCAAATTATCACAATGCCATCCTCATTAACGAAACTCTTTTTATATATAACGATTTATTGCGATACCCTCCCTATCCATCTAGTAGCAAGGCGTATATTCAAGAGACGCTAATTTTATTATTTGTACAAGATAATAAATATATCGGAAATAGCATGACAAGGCATGATCCTGCGTAGGAAAGCATGAACTCTGGTCCGGTATATATAATATCATGTCGCTAAAATGATCTGCTTTTTTAATACGACCAATTTGCTTAATTACTCCCAAATGGATACTGGGATACTGGTATACTATACCTACGGCAATTTATGATACAGTGAATTGTTTTGAAAAATAATAAACTAAAAATAAAAATGCGCACTAAAGTGTTGTAATGAAATATGTTGTTCGCGTTTATAAACACGTGAAAATTCAAGTGGCATTCCCGTAAAAGAAATTGAAAATGTTTTTGACTAATCTACCTGACTGAATTGACCACTGGATTGGGCCGGATAAAGCATAGAAGAGTTGTTCGAGTTGTTATTGCTATTGCAATTTCTGGAATACATTGAATCATGCATCGTCGTACCGGCGTTTATCCACACAGGTTCGACAGAGTTCCGAAATTGTTGTTGGCTACTGATCGGTTGTTGATACGGATTGTGTTGATCATAAACAGAAGTTGGAGATTGCTTCGAGAAAACAACGGAAGTTTGCGATGCATAAGGCTGATATCGTGTTTGGGAAGACTGAAATCCCCGGGCGGGCATTTTGTTAAAGACTTGTTCTTGTTGATAATATGGCTCCGGTGAGAATTGCTGACGCGCCAAATCTGAAGAATTATCTTGTGCGCCTGAAAAAACTTGCGTGGCGAAAGGCGGAGACATCCTTTGATATGGAGGATTCGTCGAACAATAAAGATTTCCATGTTCCGCACCAAGCGGCGTGTCTTCCATCATCATTTGTAACATTTTTACTCTACTGATATCTGGGTTATATAGTAAATCATTAAACGCCTTTCCTTATTAGCAAGAACAAATAGTACCGTAATATAACATAGCAGATACGGTAACTAATATAATGGCAAACGTTGGACAGGCTAATATTGAAAATTTCTCATTCACACTTATTTCTGACGTACTAAATTATCGAAGCTTTCAACTTCACATCAATTCCAAATATTTATTTAAAATATTTGTCGCTAAATAGGCGCATTTTCATAGCTAATCTCTCCATAACTAAAAGATACTTCATGTAAAAAGCTAAGTTTTGCTCCTCTAAAGTGTTAAAAATCTGCATTACGTATAAAGATATTTCTATTCCGGGATTTCGTCGTACTTCGCATCTGAGATTGTTTCGGAGAATGATATTTCAACTGACATCGCGAAGAGGCAACTACGCGACATATGGCACTCTCGAGATAAATTACGCCTATCTTTTCTCTTTTGTCACGGCGGGACTACTCTCTCTTATATTCCTGACATATTAGGTGATGATAACCCTCAAGTGACACGCTTCGAATTTAAAATGTTGTCAAACATCAACCAACATTGAGTAAAGAAGAAAAATAGCAATCGGCCGAAAGTATGTTTATGACATATGGCCTGTTTAAACTATAAACGGAAATTTTATGAGACTAATTTTTTGGAAAATAAACATCATACGTTATCGATACCGCAAAGTGACTCAGTGAAATATTTCAATGTTTGTACAAGTATCAGAAGTCCGAATGGTCAAAAATTTTAAATTTCATAACATTTGACGTTATACACAAATTTCAAGTAAATTGATAAAATATAAAAATATCAAAAGCCACAAATATGTTTAACGATGGTAGGAATTCAATTATTTCAACTAGTCGACCTGTAGCATCGATCGGAATCGTGCGGAAAAATACTCTTCCTAATTTTGTAATTTATCAAAAATTTAAAGCGCGATTGGCCAAAAAGTAGATCTTAATAATATACAATTTATATTCTATAATATGTATTATTTTTCCTGTCCCCTAAATACGGCCAGTTGAAATTTTGGCTGCTTCCATCTAAAGATAAAGTCAATCGACTTCAGCAACAATACAATAAGGATTTGGTATTTCGGCTACAATATCAAAGTTGCGAAAATATGGATCAACTCAGTACTCGCAAATTATTTCTAACAATAATTGCATTTCTGTTTCAAATCACTCGGCGGGTCAGAACAATGGCCAGTGACTGAGATAAAATAGGCACTAAAACCCATTACCAATTAGCTTTGATGGCGTACCATGTTTGACTGCATCTCATTAATATTCGCCGTGATTTGGTTAAAGACTTTTCAAAATGATAAAAGCCGGTGAAGCGAACGCCGTGAAAACCACTTTGAATAGAGATGAGGTTTAATGGCAACATCTGTCGAAAATACAAGTGCTGATACTGTCCGCAACATCCATAAAAAGCAAGCAAATTACGAGAAAAGGTATTGTGCTACGAAATTGGAAAAGTCGTTTGCGGACTTGGCAAAATGGGTTTATCGTTCATTTTGTTGTATAATTTTAAACGAAACCGGTTTAGTTAACTTTGATCCAATTTTAATTTCATTCACTATTATACTTTCTATACATTGAAAGATTATGCGCTAAGTTGTAGGCAATATGGTGTAACGGGGATTTACTGGAACCATTTGAGAAAATATTTAACAGTGAAAATTTGTGGTACAGTACAGTTATTGTATATTTTTACCGACAATCATATGGAAAGAAATGAAATATCATATGCTTTTTGAAGGTAAAGCCACAGTTGTCAAGAGGAAAAATTCAAATTGAATTACGGACAGTGAAGGAGGAGAACCAAATGCCACCAAACCATTTCTTTATTCCGACCTAAACCAATTCACGAACATTCTACGACAATAAAACGACATCTTTCGCACCACCTGCCTATACCTGAAGCCAAAGAAAACACGTAAAAACGGCAGGTGCATGAACGAAGCGAGGTAAGGAGATAGTGGTCTTATCTATGCTGACGGCGCCGGACTGTCGCACCCGTCCTTTGTAATAAGCCGACGATAAATGCTATAGAAATTGTGTTCACATTATGATACGCTAAAATTCTTCACATTAATGTGGTTTAATAATGAAAACTGTCATAGCATTAAAATGATGGCATACACGAGCGAAAATGTACCAATAAAGTTGACCTTTGGGTATTTTGACAAAATACAAAAATTTAATTGAGTAAAACAAAATCGAAATAAAGGCAACTCGAGTTTTCGCTGTTCTTTCTTCATAGTAAAAATATGCAAAAGTCGCAGAACAGTGGATCAGCGGCCAATAATTTTCAAAAATTTATAAGCGATGATTTATTATGTAATTATCAAAAATCAGGCCAAAGTTCTAAACTCAGCAAGCAAAAGCCGGGTGTCCCAGAAAATTAATATTCTCGACACGCGTCGCCTGGAGGTAAACACCACCTGCCGTTTTCCAGGAGGTCGCCATCTAACACAAAAGGGAGCATAATCGGCAATATTTCACGGCGTTAACCGAGTTAGTTTATTTAGTAAGGCGGGGGAGAAAGAAGTATAAAACAAACAGGTCCTCGTATTAAAATGTGTTTAGTTCCGGGGCATACGGCAAAAAGCCATCCCATTTGACCCGTGTTTTAAATTAAATCCGGCCCAGCGTGAGACATAAATAAGTCTATTATTGAAAACGTCATCCGGATATGGACCATTCTTGGTCGGATGTGCGTTTGTGGTGAAATTCCTATTATTCCATTTCCACCATCACATAGCTTCTGAGAAAAGATATCAATTTTTGGTGAAAGCGACCACGCGCCGATAAGAACAAGTTAATCGCCCATCTGTCGCATATAAACTCAATAATAAATACCACAATGGATATTTGGAGAAAAATGAAAATATCGTGGACAAAAAACGAAGGTTTGACATCTAAAACTAAAGATTTAAGCGTTTGAAAAAAAGAATTATTCAATATTTCAATATGTGTCCATTCAGTCAATTCATATTTTGACTACCTGTAAGATTTTGTTATAATACTTTCGTAAGTTGTCGGCTCAATGGCCTAAAAATGATGTTACAATAGATACAAAATATAGGCTTTATCACTGGATACATCCCTTTTTCACTGTCGCCGTCAACAGGAATGTTGTAAAAACAAGTAGCGGTCACTTTTTTTGTTGAGCATATGTTTGTGACAGAAGGAAGAATGATGACGATGGAATGAGCCACCGCTCTAGAATTCATGACAAAAATTGAATTAATATTCTCGTTTTGAGGAAAATCACATTAACGGATGAACGCACTGTAAACAATCCAATATGTCGTCATCAAAGGTCAGAACAGAATACATGATCTGGTCTGTGACGTGTGTTATTAACCCTCGATTTATATTTGTTTTACTACTGGAAAAAGTGATTTAATTTTTTCACTTGGAAGTAGACGATATTTGAACAGAAGCAACAAACTTGAATCTCCACAGAGGGGCACAAAACAAAAGCTCCATGAATAGAAAATAGAAGTCTGCAGGCAAAATGCAGTAGTGTTTAGACTTTGGAGATGCCATGAATTTTGTTTTAAATTAGAAACTAGCGATTTTGAAAGCTTGTATTTTGGAAATGAATGAGAATCACTATTTTTCTTATCACAATACAGTATTATTATTTTCATGTAAAGAGGTTCCTTTTTTCGAATATGGTAAAAAATGAAATCCATTTGAAATCATGTTTTTATTGAACCTATCTCCTACAAAAAAAAAACGAACAAAAATTCAGCTTATGCAAATGGTGTACATATTTCTAGAACCAATCTAAGTCGGGTGTAAGTTTTAATAAGCAATGTGAATGTTTCAGATGATTACATATGGCGTAATTGTTATTCTTTTATATGTAAGAGCCATTGATATATAGTACCTTAACTATTAGAAGTAAATATACTGAGTGTTCAGGGCGTTTAACAAGATTTAGTAACTGGCAAAAATATGTCATCATAATGACATTTCACAATATGAAGATACTGAATTTACAGAAGCGTAAACATTAAAGTATTTTATTTTAAAGATATATTTTCCAAAAGAATTTTTGCATTCACAATTTTAGTCAAGCGGCTGCAGAAAAGTACACAATTTCATACTACAACAAACTACAATCTAAAACATTGATCAGTTGCCATTTCGGTAAGCATTAGGCAAACCTTGGACAAATCCAACATAAGACAATACTTTTGCATCTAAGATGTAAAAATATATAAAAAAAACGTTCACTACAACAGAGGTTAGTAAACTTTACCAGCTTGCAAAACTGGAAAGACAATTTTACCTCATTATTAAACTTTAACACTAAGTGTGATGAGGTGACACAATTTAATCAGATGTACTGATTTTGACAGATTTACTGATTTTCATTATATCTAAAATTTTAACATGCAATTAATTTCATAAATAAACTAAACTTTCACACAGGTTTTGGAAAGATTAAGTTCCATTGGTTCTCCCTCGTTTGTGATGATTCGAGTAGTGCCTATCAACATGTTACTTTACTACTACTTAATCATATTTGATGCAAAACTGGCACACTAGATACATTTATATACACAATATATCATACATACCTTGGTGAATGAATTGAGCTTCTGAGTCTTCGAAGTTATTCTCTAGCTTCCCACTTAATTTTCTATCCTATTTTGACGCAGATTTCAAATGTCTAAGTTGAGTTGTGTAACATTCCCGCATTCTAAAAGCACTGTTGTTAGTGTTTTTCATAACATATGATACTTCACAAAGAAATAGAGTAACCTAGAAGTAAACGAAAAAGAAAATAGTTACATTTTTGCATCTTTGGATGCCAGAAGCATTGCCACTAATTAACAGAATTTTCCATGCCTACATATCAATCCCAAGTCAAGATAAAAACTGGGTAAATTTTTACCAGATTGAGCAGTCCGTTCACATTTTAATGTTGTGTTTAACACCTTTAATCTGAACAATTAACGTATGGTATGGCGTTCGACAAGCAAGTAGTCTAGCTACCAATATGCAGAGAGCTACCATAGGTCTTAAAGAAAAGGTATATTTGTGTTTCGCATGTAGCCCAATCAATTTATTACAACTGTACAATGTTAATCTCGGGACTAAAATGTTTTTTCCGCAAGTGCTTCCAGTACTGTGGTGGGCGTGACTTAACAATTTTTGCATATATCATTCCTATCATTGCATAGGGTTGTGTAGCCAGTCTGCGGACGATTTCATTCAAACCGATATAAAACAAAAACCAATATTTCTAACCCGTTAATTTTTTCACCGTAGGTGCATTGGCATTTATTCTACACGCTGAACTTCGAATTAACTTTCTACGACCACGGGTTAAAGCTATACAAACCACCAAAGTACAACACTCTGAAGACGTATTTGCGACCGAACGACCAGTGTGCGATCACGGATTTCAAGCCTTGAACATCGTTTCTGCTGCGTCAAGACTAGGGCATATGCAGCCATGCGTGAAAAAATGGGCTTCTAATTGCATTTCTGACCGTCATATATTTTAAGAACACGGTTATTTCGAACAAAATTCTTCAAATTATAAACAAAGCACCGCATCACAGCAATCAAACAGACAAAAACACGGTGGTCGCAAATTAGTTGACAAAGATATTATTGACGAATTGGAAATGCGCACCCCCCTACTCCCCCTCCTTTGAATGTAGAAACGCGAAACTTTGAAGATGGTTAAAAGAAACACAACTCTACCCACCTGCCAAGTTTCATCTCATTATCTCTTATATTTGTATGGATTTTCAAGCTTTTTTAAAGGAACAATGAGTAGTTGGCGACATGGTAAAATGGTCCCTTTTTTTTGAGTCAGGTTTTCGGTCGTAACTTTTTATTTGTGGCCGCATTTTAGTGAAATTTCGCAGAGCTACGAGGGATAAGTGGACGATAACGCGTGATAAATATCGTCGCGGTTCGTTAATTTTTTCGGCATTAATTCAATCGATGAAGTTGATGGTCGCAGATAGGTCATGGCCGCAAAGTGGGTAAGCCACCCTATGTCACATGAGTACTTCACCCAAAAACTACATCACTACGACTTCACAGTGATGTAATAACTGGATGACGCATGGTCGTCCAAAACCTGCAGGCGATGACCCGAAATCTAGCGAGTTAGATCACACAAAAAGACATAGTCTCTCTCGTTTCCTTGTCGTAACAATCACGTAATTTCCTCCACGGTTACATTCAAACACTTAGCGTTACTTAAAGTTATTTAATCTTTTCCACGATAAATTCTAGACAAAAAAAAATAATTAATTGGCTTAAAACAGTTCTAAACTGTGTAATATACAGATATACCGTAAAAGCGCCTAACTTCGGACAAAATTACTATATTTTCGTCAATTACCCGGCCATTTATTGTCCAAACGGTGCCAAAATTGCTCGGTAAAACATTCGTGCGGTACTTTACATTCCCTGCAAATTTCGGTTCAATTGGACTATTTTTACTATTAAAATAATCGATATTTCTTGCCATCTGACCGTTATCCTTCACTGCCCTAACTTCGGACAGTCATTTTCTTCACTGCGTAACCGCGACGCACAGAGAGAAAGAGGCTTCCGATGCGAATGACGTAATCACGTCGTTGCGTGAAGATAAGACGCTCGATCGTCGTCGTAACGTAACATTGACGTCACGACGAAAATGCATTATTTGAAACTTCCGTCGTCCTATGTTTACATCTTTCGTTCGTTATTTTCGAAACTTCAGATGAGTATAATAACACGTTAGTCATTTTAATTAGGAAATGCATACGTAAATATATCTGATGCAAACCGTTTCAATCCACAATGAAGTATTTTAACGGGCTTCTATCGAAGTCTTTGAAGTATTAATATTCTCGACGGATAGCTTTTTTTTATTCTGCGCGGTTATCTTTATAAATGATAATTTATATCAAACACACGGTAAATCCGATTGTAAAGTTTAATTTAAAATTCAACTTAATCTTGTAAACATGTAGGTCCCGTTTATTTGTTGGAGATCAAATTTATTTTTAATTTCGAGTGAATAATATTCACCCAGGCCGTATTCAATAACTGTCATTTCGACTACTAATCATAAAATAATGGTTAAGTCAGTGCACTGTGCCATATGGACGTTGGAATTATCATAGTTTTATATATTCGATTTTTAACGTCATCGATTAAGTGTGACATGTATTTTCATTAATGTTATTTTGGCATATATTCATACATGACCGAACAAAATACAAAAATATTATATGGTACGCCGTCTTTATCTTAACGGAAATTGTCATATTGGCTCCGTTGTGTCTGGCGTCAAAATTCATTTCCGAGATGCAGTGTGACGTCGTGTCGGAAGTGAGCGAAAAATAATCTACGTGAGGTTGACGTATTTTTTGACGCTGCGTGAAATCTTAATATTCTTACGGAATTTATAATTCAGAATTTTAGGTTTTATTTAAATCTCGTACGACATCTTGCGATCACTCAAATAAATTATATACATTGTTGTCGCCCTCTACCGAATGATGGTATTTTGACGATGATAGCTTCAGTAGGAGCGACGCTCTGCGCCGTTGAATGCCGGGCAGTCAATTTTCGGCAAAATTTCCGTTTTTTCACCAAAAAAATATTTATGCAACATTAAAAAAGATGAGAATAGATGTAGATATAACAGACAACCTATAATAATTAAAATTAGCAATATACGGCGCGTTTTAGCCAAGATATGGCCGTTCAAAAATTTTGTCCGAAGTTAGGAACTGTCCGAAGTTAGGCGCTTTTACGGTAGCCTAACCCAGCAGAATGGGAATGTGACTTCACTACCCCAAAACACTGCAAACACATTGGACATTTCGCACTATAGTGCCACCGCGTGTCGGCTTACAATGTTTATTTTTCACATAATGTGACATCTTCTGCATAAAAATTACCACGGTTACGAAAAAGTACAATGCTTTGTGAGCTTAAGACACAGTTCTTTCAACTTTTTATGTGATTTATTTTCTCAAAAATTACTCAAAGTTCTCATTGCGCTTATTTGCCATACGCAAGTTTATAAAAAAATAATAGCATGGCTTCACTCAAGCAAAACAGCAGCTGTCAAGTTCATACGCTGTGATATTTCCCACATAACCAATTAGTAGAACCGTAGTAGTATATATTTACGGTAGAAATGGGAATTTCAGGAAAAAGACTTTAACCGTTAACTGGATAAGATAAACCGGTTAACCTCAGCCTGACGTAATAAGTTATAATTTTAACTTGTACGTCACAATCAACGACTAACACACCAAAGCAATAGACCTTTCACCGACCATCGACTTCCTTGTTCACTTCGTGACATTGGCCAATCAGCAAGATGCTAAAGTGACGTAACAATGCTCCCTTTTCGCATCCGCCCCGACACTTTTCTCACTCACTCAGAAAGAAAAACAGTCATCAACTGCGTACTTGTTGTATGACACTTTTGCAATAAAATCGTGAACAATATATTCTGGCCCAAAACTATTTAAATTTATTATTGTCAAATTTTCATTATCAGCAATATTGGTACTTCAATGATCAATGATATTTCGTATATAAAGGGTCCTCGTCAATACAGTTAGTGATATTCTTTTAAATTAAACGCCTCGAGAGATGAATTTTCGATGAACTAATCATTTTTTGATGAAATTATACTTTATAAAGATTATTTGTTGGCGAGATGTCAGTTGACGGGTAAAACGAATCGTAGAGTTAACTATCCAAGATCAGTTAGCCATTCCCATCAATAACAATTACTATGGAGCACCACCTCAATACAGATACAGAAAAAACGAAAAAAGTAAGTAACTGTTAGGTTTTGGTTGAAACAACTTCTCTTCGATTACTGGACCAATTGCTTTGAACTTTTCAGTGGTTGAAGATGGAATTATTCTCCAGAAGGCTATTACTTTTTTTAGTTCTAAATTTTGTATGAATTCTATGAAATTTGTCCGCGTGATAACTGGCTGTACGTTTTGATTCTGCAAAATTCTTGCTACTGGAAATTCGGAACTTTTTTAAGGGTACCGGTAGTTATTATCATTAAAAAATCGCCTTACTCTGGACTAATACTGGACCAATTGCTTTGAAATTTTCAGTGGTTGAGATTGATTTTTTCGCAAGAAGACTACTTTACTTATCTCAAAAATTTCTGTGGACTTCAGGAGCTTCGTTTTTCATGTGTCAGAATAAAAATAGCGGATCGATTTTTTTTGCCAGAACACTACAGTATTACTTTTATTTATTTTAAAAATTTCTGGGGACTTCAAAAGCTTCGTTTTTTATGTCACCTTGTTACGTGTCGATATATTTGAGCCTAGCTCTCCTGTTTCAAGAATTGTTTCGCGAGTTGGCGACTGTAAAATGGGCTATTTGTTTCAAAGAATCATTCTGATTCATAGCATTCAACAAACAATCTGATTTTTGAAAGCACCGTACTATTTATTAAAAAGTACCGTAGCGGCAATAAAATGCTTGGGTCTTGTAGAAAAAGCGCCGCAACTGCTTGGATAATGCCTAACAAAAATGTGAAATGAACGCCGTAATTGTTCAAATAACGCCAAACAAAAATGTGATGTGAAATTTTGACGTAGTTAAAAAAAAGTTTGTATGACGCAAAAAAAAATTCTTGAAACACGCGTTGAGTTCAAATCAAACCTCAATTTTCAACTAAGCAGGCATGTCAAGCGCCGTTTTGGGTATTGTGTTCATACGGACTTTTATTTTTTTTAAATAATTTATATTCTTTTATGGAAGGTATTTGCTCAAAGCAATACCACACGCACTCACTCGGAAATAAAGGATTTTGGTCTCTGAGCAAAGTCACTGGCGACTACTAACGCGCCAAGAGCTACTGACACTCGAAGAATTAAAAACTACCGATATTCTTGAAAAAAAAACTTTGAAAATAAAAATTTGTTTGTGTGTGGCAGGTGCACTAAAAGTAAACGAGTGAGAGACTCACAGCCAACTGAGTTTTTCATTTTTGATTCACAAGTTCCTAAAAGCTCAGATGAATACAGTTCATTATATTATCTGTAAAATAAGCACAGGGAAAAGTATTCCAGTGTTCCAAAATGGTTTGCATTTCACAATCATAATCGACACCCACCCCACCATGGCCCCCGCGAGGTTAACATATACTCCTCGTGATTTACACTGAACCATAAAATTATCAAACTATTTATTCGTTAGAAATTATGTTATGAACTGTTCGAAATTTGTTTCATTTATTTAATCTTTGCAAATCTGACCATGAACAGATTAAGTCACAATCATTTGCACAATTGGACTCCGCCATAAGGAGGTCGTTCTCGATATCTGCTCACCAAATCTGTCACAAAAGACCTGTTCCCACTTAAGAGATAACAATTCCACACAAAACCATGCAATTCCACTCAAAATTTGCACTGCCCTCTATTTTCGACATGACAAACACTTATCGATGTTGTTCTTTTCATTCTATTAGGCAAGGTTTTGCAGATTTATATATCTGCTGTCCTCTGAACAGGCGTGTATGAAAATCGCACAGGCGGCAGCAGACTTTCTACTCTCAAGAAGATCAATATCGTGATGCCATTCTACATTTCCCCATTGTGAAATCTGAAATATATATGGGACAAGATTTATATATTTATCCTGGTGGCGAGAAAAGACGACAGCCGATCCGGTTACCACTTACCAGTCCATATTAGTTGGGGAAAGCCATCCCAAGATCGACCAGTGATTACGTGAATCACATTATGACGGCGATGAATCTAGCAATCCTTGCACATAAATATCCCGTATACAATAGTACACGAATTTGGACTTTACAGAAATTACAGTTGCACTGAGCTTTTTTCAGATCGGTTAAACCTCTCATAAAAAGGTGTAGATGCTAGTGCATAGTAGTTACATGAGACGTGGTACGTCTGAAAATTCGATTTTTCAATGGTTCCTAAGTTCAACCAACTTAATAAAGAAAGTTTATTCATGAAACTTAATTTCCCCTACATTTTATCGTTTCTTATTTTAAACGCTGTGTATATGAATCAATAAATTACTTTTACCGTTCTATGTCGTTTATCTCCTGTTATAGTTTCTGCCTATATTCTTACGTAACAATAGAGAAAGTTACTACCGTACTTGCTGCAATTTTGCAGTTTGTGTATCTGCTGAACAGATTTTGGCAAACATTTGCCCTTATTCCTAAGTAATACATGTTTACAAACTTTAAAAGGCATAAAGTACACATTAACGATCACAAAATTGAGTTTTATTTAAAAGTGGCATTTTGTTTTCGTGCAAGTGCGCAGGAGTTTCCCTGATAATTTGGCGCCGAACGAACAAAAGGTTTGGTAACCTGCAAGATTTCTGCCAAATGTATCTACAGATTGCAGATCTTAAGAACAATTCCTGCAGGTATAGTCTTAAATAGTAAACATGCTGGCTTGAATATATCATCACTCTATTCATTTATTACTTCAACCAATACAATACGAGCATCATGATCGAATATGCAGATACATAGGATAGGATTCACATATTTATCCCCGGGGAGAGGAAAACCGATAACACGGCTTAACCATATGGTGAACCACAGCCTCTTGTCCAGTTACCATTCCATGTCGGGTATGGGATTAGTCAGTTATTTGTTTTCGGAAGCATGGACTTGATGGTAGAGGAAGCCGTAACCGTCCAGCGGTTACCGGTATGTGAACCACCCTACCACCTACATTACACAACGATAAAATTTTATAAATATTTTCTTGTTCTTAAATCGCAAATTTTAACTGTTCACATATACTGATATAATTAGTCCACCTGATATTCCTGTTCCAATCGAGATAAACTCACGGCTTCTTCAACTGTTATACTGCGTTCAACCAATGCAATAGATAGCAAAAGGGATTTCAGTGTGCTGAGGAGCCTTTCAAATCCTGTAGAACATACACCTGCATTATTAAAAACATAATTTACAATGCATAAAAATAATGCAAACAAACTCACCTGTTACAGCCCAAAAATTATAAGATAAGAGGTACTTTTCAAACGTATTTATTGTTTCTTCAGGCAAATGTGGGGAAGTAAACCCTGATGTGTAGTTGAGTTCAACATTGTATTTCTGTCGTGCCCAGTCAATAATTTTACCCCACTCTTTAACTTGATGATCTCCTAAACCAGGAGGCTCATCAGAATGAAATCTTGAAAAATATGTTTATTCAGAAATCAAATTTATGACCCAAACCAATACTAAATTCAAAAATGAAATTATTACTTACAATACTGTATCAGTTCGCAAGAAATTTAGACAAATGTCAACCAAAGTTGCTTTATCTTCACCATTTGGCTTATCCATCGCATAAAAACATAAATTGGTCTGTTGAAAAGAAGTTAAAACTGAACTTGTGTGTTGTTAACTACAACCCTACAGTGATACTTTATAGAAATCCAAAGACGAATAAATGGAATAATACATCATAGCAATATGTAAGAACATTAGGGTTTACATAAGAAGAGACCTATCATACGGGTACTAGTTTTACCATAGACCAACCACCATCACATTATTTTGATCTGAAAGTGAAACTAGAAAAATTCTTCACGCATATCATAATTGATGTTATTTGTCGTTTAAATATTTTGTCTGATTATTAAACAAATCAGATAGTACATGAAAAATAGACATCGAGCACAATATGAACTAATTTACTTACTATTGGCATCGTGTGGTATTTCAGTGCGTCTCTCTGGGAATCCCATTCTAATGCAACAGCTTGAGCCAGTTGTTCACACGGTAGTCGCAGTACAATGCCTGAAGGACACTTCAGTTTTCTTTTATCGAGGCTCACATCATATCCATCTTCAAAAATTAACAATGATATTAGATATATGACCATAATTTATAATTTTTTTTTTAATTCATATTACCTGAATCGCATGATATTGTTACCTCTTTGAAAAATTTCTTTCTTCCTATATAAATATATAGAAAATGAATTTAAATAGATTCCCCATTGATATATAGAAAATTAGATGGGCTGTGTTTAACAGGATAAAGTTTTGCTGGTTGGTGCTGGTGAGAGCAATGAACTAATTTTGTAACTCGAGCCAAGTTCAGAACTTGGATTTGCTCAGTTGTCATTGTTCAACAGTGTTATGATGAGATTTATTTTAAGTTTATTCATTATGCACTTGCTTTGTATATGTGGAATAAATTAATTACCACATAAAATAAAGTCTGAGATAAATTTCAACATGTGAAGTGAAGTATCCTCCATTACAGAGCACCAAGAACTACTACATACACCAAGCTGCTTTTATGTGACTGTATTGCTGCAAACAAAAAAACCCCAACTCACCAGAAACACTAGTGTGTCGCCGCAGAATGCTTAAAACATTACAGTGGACTGTCGTAGAACACGTAAATGAAGCGGTTACCAAATTCCGGAACAACGCAGCCATTACCTGACTATTAAAGTATTTGCATGATTTGACAAAATAGCAATATATTACGAACAAAGAAAGAACACAATTCAAATCACTAAATTAGCAACATTCATATATATTCATTAATAGGATAGCAAAGGCACATTTAAATTTCTAGTTAAAACCAGAAATTAGTTTATATAATACAAATGCCACAGGTAGTAGTGCAACTTTATATTAAACAAATACCAAACGCTTGGCCATTTCACAGTGATGAGATGAATATGAAAATATTGGAATAAAATAGGATTCTATATCCTGGCAGGGGGGATGACGAGCTTGGAATAAAAAATAGATTCCTAATTCTTAAATCACATTATTACCAAAACTGTCTGAATTTTTTGCAAACTGTTTTAAATTGAGTCATCAAATCATATGCTATATCTTTATTTCTGAATTCAAACTCATTGAAAAGGACATTGCCTTGTATGTGTTCTTTCTTAAAAATGACCCTATTTGTAACATTTTCTATTAACAAGATTATGATTTTAGACTGCAATTAGAGCAGTAGCTAAGTTGATTTTGTATCTCTGTCCTTCTCTTTACAATATCGGATTTTTCAATTCATGAATACAGAACAGAAAAGCTATGAAGCTTTACAGAACTCAATTCATGAATACAGAACAGAAAAGCTATGACAAATGTTTTTCTTTTTAATAATATCCAACAGTGTGATAGCAAAACTGTTTCTAATGCCCAGCATAGTAAGACAATATATTCTCAAGTTATGAAAAATCAGTTAAACCAGTGATCTGCTTGGCAATTATAATTCCATCGTGTAAGGCAATTCCAACACCATTCATACAAACACATTTTACAAGTCATATGCATACAACCACCACTTCTTTCTGTTGGAACTTTGCAATTAGGACAGTTTTTCGAAATTTCCCTGATGGTTTTTATGCTTTCGAAATAGTCTCTTACCATAACACTACTTCCAGCCAACAGAGGAAACTGGGATTCACAGTCTGAGGTTCCATGATATGATTCACGACAATTTGAACAAAACATATGCCCACAATTTGAGCAGGTAATTTTTGTGTTGTTCTCAAAGATGGCAGGTATATCTGGAAACAAGCCAGTTCCACATTTAGGATTGGGGCAAATCATTCCCTTCATTTTACGAATTAAGCATTCTTCCGCAGAAAAAGCTTGATACATTTGGTATTCATCAGCCCCAAGTATGTGAAAAAGGTGTGTATCACACATAAATGAACCTTCACACCCCATCGGGCAGGTAACAGAATACCCTATATTTTCACAAACTATCATTTGTCTATCACGAAGTTTTGTTCGAGAATATTCTTCAAAACATGGCAAACACATAACATGTTCAGGGCTACAAGGAAACGTCACGACCGGATTACATGAATCAAGGCAGGTAAGACAGAGAACATCTTGAATGTTGCTGATAACATTTGGTAAGGATACAGCAGTTTCAGAAGGTGCCGGACTCCGACAAACCGAGCATTTGAAGTAGAATTCTGCATCACAAACATCACCTCCACATTCCTCAGAATAGCATTGGCCAAATATTTTTCCCGCCTGAAGGACATCACTCCATTGCTCAGGCTCACATTGTAGAATAATACTGTCCTCTTTACAATTGGCACACTGAACACGCAGCTTCCCAGGTGTAACTTTAAAGCAAGTATGCTTGCAATAAACATAAAATTGAGGATGTTTTGAACATAATTTTTCTTCATTCAGGTAATTCTGTAACTTGATGAAAGGGAAATGAGTATGTTGACGATGTGGCCATATTCCTGTCAAATATGAATTTCGACCCACATAATATTGTTGTCTTGATATCAATTCTTCATCTTTTATACGAGGGTAAGAGACAACATGCAGAGTCGTCTGAGAACTAAGGGTATATTCATTCAGTGTTTTATCATCTTGCATTGCCTTTCCACAGAAAATAATTTCACACTCTTCGAAAGGAATATTAGAGTCTTCACAAAGCATAGATTTGACATCACACACTTTTATATTCAAAGGCAATTTCATTAGTCTAGAAGTCTTGTCTTTGTGCAACATGAACCTAATATCCAATGCATTGGTAGTGCACATTGCACTGTTTCGGTAAGGTAGTCTCAAAATTTCGGATAAATCTTAAGCCTAATAATACAGTTCTGCAGTTATTAGGTAACTAGATATTTCATATTTGTAAGATACAGAAACAATAAATGACATAATTAAAATATCAATGAAGGATAAAACACTGTAAAAATTGGTCATGTGATCACATTTAAAATTTCATAGCTAAGATCGGTACCGTACTGATATATGGTTCCTAATTATCGAAACCGACCCTAAATTAACGAAACAGGGTAGAATATCCACCTAACCAACCCCTCTCTTTCTTATTTGGTTGAGGTGTTTGCATTTCACTCCAACCAAATTCCAACAATAAATCATATTTTAATTAATATTAATCTAGACTATTCTTCACTGTTCAGGTTCAGTCCCATTTATTACTGTATTAATATGGTATAATTTGGTAAACTTTACAAAATAAATTATTTCCCGAGCATTGATTTCCTTCTTTATTTTCGTTAAAATTCCAATCCAATGGTTGGGTCTCATGTAGTTTCGTACCTAATATACTTCTAGTGGGCGTAGCATGACAATTTTTTCATGTATCAATCCTAACCCCCACCTGACTACACCATCCAAAAATTACATCAACACGAAGTCACAGTGACGTAATAGAGCCCTTCAAACTATAAGAACTGCCATCCAAGACGTGCAAACGAGCACCCGAAATCGAACAGTTATTTCTCTCGTTTTCCCGTCGCAACGATTCCAATAGGAGAGAGATCGATACTGTCAGTCAGTTCTTTATCGTCGGCGCCAATGCCATTTCGGGTGATCGTACGTATATTTGGCAAGCTCAATCCTAACCCCCACCTGACCACACCATCCAAAAATTACATCACTACGACGCCACAGTGACGTAATAGAGCCCTTCAAACTATGCAAACTGTCATCCAAGACGCGCAGACGAGAACCCGAAATCGAACAGCCATTTCTCTCGTTTTCTCGTCGCAACGATCCCGATAGGAGAGAGATCGCTGACGTTAGTCAGTTCTTTATCGTCGGCGCCGATGCCATTTCGGGCGATCGTACGAGAATTTGGCAAGCTATGATATGACGTGTTGTGACGCAATTTTTGAATGGCGTAGTCAGGTGAAGGTTAGGATTGGCATGTCGAAAAATTGTTATGCTACGCCTACTAGAAGTACCGTACCGTACATTAGGTACGAAACTACACGAGACCCTGTGAGCTTTGGTACCGGTACGGTACGTTATCTTTATTATATAAATGTACAGTGTCAACTTAACTTTACTTGGTGTACTGTACCTGGCTTTCTTTATCTTTGCGCACCATGCAGCACTTCTTATACCGCGTGGGTGGCTAGGTCACTTTTAAAATCCCAAAAACTACTTTTAGTTGACGTGGGGAATACCCCAGCCGTTTATAGTCACTTTGAGTGGACCTTTGGATCGTTCCCATATTTTGGTAATTGGACACGTTAGTGGACATAACGATCGTTTCAATATTATGTTGTTGTTCTTGTTGGACACGTTAGTGGACATAACGATCGTTTGAATATTATATTGTTGTTCTCGTTTTTCGTCATTATCACTATTATATATTCGCTTTTTTCTTCGAATAGAGGGAGAGAGCTCCATTATTTGTCAACCAGAAAAAACATAAATACATTGATAATAATAATAAATATAAAGCACTACGAATAACGTTTCTTCGGTAGGTATGGGCTGGAGGGAGCGATACGACCATACGGTCATCAGAGTCAGCTCCCAACATGTTCGCACCACCTAAAATAAAAAACCAGTACCTTCTAAAATTAATTTGAAAAAATCCATAAGTCTCTAAAGTAAACAATAGTTCACCATGTTCCCTTATAAGCAATCTTTGAAACATCTGCTCGTAGATTGTTGTTGTGTTTCAGGCTGCTTAACAATGATCAAATGAAATCATTATGAAAAAAAAATCACAAATATTCTGACAAATCTTCCATGTTAAATTCGAAGTGATCCTATGAAAAAACAAGAGAGCTACGCCCAAATATATGGACACGTCTGTTCGCAGTACAGTACGGTTTACCGTACCGTCAGATCACAGTCTGCAAATATATTCACACTAAGCGAAGCAGTACAGTAGGACTTCCAACTTTCGCTAAGGCGGTACGGTAACGTCCCCGCAGAAAAGAAAACCAACATTATTGCAATACTGTACGGTACAGTACCGTCCGCAGAACGTTCGGTGACGTCATAGCAAACAAAAACAAATCTCACAGAGCTAAAAGAAATATTTGAAATAACTAAAAGTAATAGCCATCTGGAGAAAAATTTCATCTTTAACCAGTAAAAAATTCGAAGCAATCGGTCCAGTAATGGAAGAGAAAAGCGGTTTTTTAGATTTTCCACTAGATGTCCAAAAAGTGTCAAAGAACAACAACAACAACAAGACCAACATAATATTGAAACGATCGTTATGTCCACTACGTGTCCAACAACTCAAATTACCGTATCTTTGTCTGAACCTAATGTTTATGAATGAAAAAAAATCCATTATCACACCCTTGATGACTAATATATTTTGATATCTACCTCAGTACCACACTATCGATATGGGAATGAAGCAGTCAGTGACTCGACTTCACCTAGGTCCCGAATAGGCTTGGAGTAAAACCAAATGGTTCTGGTGAAACTAATGGTGTGCATCTGTGCTTTGATTTTTTTTTTCTTGTGAAACTTCAATAAATGTTTGGTTATTTAAATCACCATATATATATATATATATATAGAGCACCACTTTTTTAATGGGGTATTTCACACATTCCCTTTGAATAAGACTCTGAACAAGCAGGTACCCATATCCACTATGTAATTTGAAAAGACTGGATTGAATACAGCTATTGTATAAGAACGGTTCCATCTTCTGATAAAGAGCTTCACAACTTCCCCGCAGCAAAGCAGCAAAAAAGTTTTTGTCACTTGGTTGTGCTGTGACATCATGCAAACTTTGAGAATGGAACGTATAATTTCATTGCTGATATATTTGGTCATAAAATCAATTCACGTTTCATAGAATATTGAAGTACTTTTCTGGTATTAGGAAAAGCGCATTGAGAAGAACGCGTTATTGCATTAGGAATGGTGTATTATTAACAATGAGAGCGCAATGGGTACAATGCAACGTCGCATTAGGAATGGCGCATTGGATGGTACAATATTAACGACTCCTCCATCCATTTTTATAAACCATTTTCGTTCTATATGTCTCGCCTTTTTTTTTTCTGAGAAATCTGAACAAGGCTCTAAACAAGCAGCAGCTGGTATGTAGACAACTATTATGCCTTTTGTGGAGGTATCTTAGGACGTGGAAAACTGAAAATTGGATAGGCACAGCTATCAGACAGGAATATTCTCATTTCTCATGATCGTCGTGACTGTGACAACAAGCCTTTCGCAATATAGATAAATAGTTTATTTCGGAAACTCCATAACAAACATAAATTGAAAATGGAGAATTCTGGAGGGCAAGCAAAACCCATAAAAAAAGTTTAAAACATGAGAAGTATCTCAATTGCCTGCCCACCAGGGCAGTATTGTATTTTCTGACATTGTTCAATCAGTTGACCAAACATGATCGAGCGACGCAATTGTAATACATTGTCAGTTGTAAACATCAATTTGATGTTGCACTAATCCGTAAAAATGAGTGTCCACTCAAGGATTTATCAACAACTCGAGCGCAGGGCGGGTGTATGTGAATGAAATATCATGGTGCACCAACCCTAATCAGATTTGACGTTGAAACGTTTTAGAAAAACAGTGCCAAGAAAACGATTTCTGTTGTTATGGATTGACCCAGGAATTCTTGTACTTATACCTGAATTGGTGAGATGCAGTGTCTTGCTATTGTTTAACACGGCGATATCAACATTCCTTTGCCTGCTTTTCCAAAACACTCGCGAAATAGGGGACAACACTAAAAGGCTGAAGGAAGAAACGGATGAAGTGGAGGGAAAACGGAAGTTGGAGTGTTCCCAAAGGTGAAAAATTAAAAAACACTAAAAGGCTGAACACTACAAGGAAGAAGTGGATGAAATTCCTTCCGACGAATAATGAGGTGGTTGAAGCCACTAAAAAGCTTAAAACTAAAAGGAAGAGGTGGATGAAATTGTTTGCGACGGATAACGAGGTGGTTGAAGTCACTAAAAAGCTGAAGACTATAAGGAAGAAGTGGATGAAATTTCTTCCGACGAATAATGAGGTGGTTGAAGCCACTAAAAAGCTCAAAACTAAAAGGAAGAGGTGGATGAAATTGTTTGCGACGGATAACGAGGTGGTTGAAGTCACTAAAAAGCTGAACACTAAAAGGAAGAAGTGGATGAAATTTCTTCCGACGAATAATGAGGTGGTTGAAGTCACTGAAAAGCTGAACACTAAAAGGAAGAAGTGGATGAAATTTCTTCCGACGAATAACGAGGTGTTTGAAGTCACTAAAAAGCTGAACACTAATGGGGAGAAGTGGATGAAATTTTTTCCGACGAATAACGAGGTGGTTGAAGTCACTAAAAAGCTGAACACTGAAAGGAAGAAGTGGATGAAATTTCTTCCGACGAATAATGAGGTGGTTGAAGTCACTGAAAAGCTGAACACTAAAAGGAAGAAGTGGATGAAATTTCTTCCGACGATTAACGAGGTGGTTGAAGTCACTAAAAAGCTGAACACTAAAAGGAAGAAGTGGATGAAATTTCTTCCGACGAATAATGAGGTGGTTGAAGCCACTAAAAAGCTGAACGCTAAAAGGAAAAAGCGGATAAAAATTCTTTCGACGAATAATGAGGTGGTTGAAGTCACTAAAAAGCTGAACACTAATAAGAAGAAGTGAATGAAATTTTTTCCGCGAATAATGAAGTGGTTGAAGTCACTAAAAAGCTGAACACTAAAAGGACGAAATGGATGAAATTTCTTCCGACGAATAACGAGGTGGTTGAAGTCACTAAAAAGCTGAACACTAAAAGGAAGAAGTGGATGAAATTTCTTCCGACGAATAACGAGGTGGTTGAAGTCACTAAAAAGTTGAACACTAAAAAGAAGTAGTGGATAAAATTTCTTACGACGGGTGGTGAGGTGGCTGAGGTCACTAAAAAGCTAAACACTGAAAGGAAGAAGTGGATGAAATTTCTTCCGACGGATAGTGTGGAATACTTGAAAATTTAATATATTAGGAATTGGGTAATTTAATGTTTGTTCTGTTCGTATTTATGAGACAATTTCCTCGTGGATTCGTTTTTTGTTAATTTTTTATATGTTATGCTCAGTTCGAGCCTGTCGAATATTGAAGGCCATGACATTCTCGTTTTTAATTCTTTTTAATTTTGATGTAATGTGCAAGCAAATTGCTATATATATATATATTCATATTTAGCTGTTCCTGCCGTATAATGGGTATGTTGCGCTCCATTGGGTGGGTTACGGCGAGGCATGTTTTGCAAATAGATATCTTGTTTTTCAAGACGCGTAAAGCTGACTTTGTTATCAAATCAATTTTTCCAATCAACAAACCTTGTAATTTATAATATGTTTGCGGCC